CCAAGTCAGTCAGGTGCGCCGCCCCTGGATACGGACTCCTTCGGTGTCAGGTACGGCGTGGTTCGTCCAGTTCAATGCTCCGGAAGCGAAGTGCCTGGAGTGGTGCGTGAGGCAAAGTCTCGAGTTCGGATAAGGGGAGGCCCCGAACTATCATAAGACAGGCCAGTTCGGGTCTCTGCTTTGTGTGACTCGGGGTCAAAGGGAGAGTTCGGGCTCCTCGCAGGGAGTTCGATCACTAAGTAGGGAGCTCGGGCACCTTGCAGAGAGTTCGACCACTAAGTAGGGAGCTCTTTCGAACTCTAAGTAGGGAGCTCGGGCCTCTTGCTAGGGAGTTCGAGCTCTAAGTAGGGAGTTCGGGCACTAAGTAGGGAGCTCGGGCCACTTGCAGAGAGTTCGACCACTAAGTAGGGAGCTCGGGCCTCTTGCTAGGGAGTTCGAGCTCTAAGTAGGGAGTTCGGGCCTGCTGGTCCCTTCCCTTTGGCGTTTGTACCCTCGGTATGCTGTCTTGAGTGCCGAGCTACTTGCCTTTTTTGGTACGTGCCGTGATTTGCGAGGTCGGGCCAAATCTTCCTTCATCAAGACTCATGCCAGAATTTTGGGGGTGGGGAGGGTTGATATTAAATGAACTTGGCAATCTGGTTTGGGATTTTAGTGGACCAGTTGTTGCAAGAGATGCCTCTGTCCTCTGAAGCCAAAGTAAGGACCCGTCTTGCTGGTTTTAAAATTGCTAAACATTGCAGGTGGTCTCTTTGCTGGTAGAGGATGATTCCAGAAACATGGTTAGCTGGGTCACCAATCCAAGAACTGGTCCTTGGTGATTAAGTGAGCTCATTTCCTTTCTTGTCTGCACCAATCCAGGAACTGGCCCTTGGCATCTTCACCATTTCCTGCTCGAATTAAGCGGGAGATGCCTCTGAGGCCAAAGTAGGATCCTTCTTGCTGCTCTCAAAATTGCTAAAACATTGCAGGTGGTCTCTTTGCTGGTTGAGAGTGACTCCACAAACGTGATTATCCGGGTCATCAATCCAGGAACTGGCCCTTGGTGTCTTCACCATTTCCTGCTTGAATTAAGCAAGCTCATTTCCCTTCTTAGCTGCTGCTTCAGATGGATTCCTAGAGAGTTTAATCAACGAGCTGAGTATTTAGCTAAAAGTGGTTCTGAGAAGACTGTTTTGTATAGTGCAAATAGATGTCCTGATATTTGAAAGGGTTTGTTTTCTTATTGTAGTCAAGCCATGTCTTTTGTACATCCTCTCATGCACATCTTTTTTGGTTGAATGAAAAGTTACCATTTCTCAAAGAAATCATTATGTTGTGTGACAGAAAAAACTGTCTACAGCCTAGTTTAGAAAATAGAAAACTTGGCTGATTGTGGCTCCACACCATGATAGCTTATAAAACCATTATTTGAAGGCCATCTACAGCCTTATTCATGAAAAATGGCTGATTAGGGTCCCTACTTAATTGTTGTGTATAGAAAAAAATATATTTATTTATATTTGCTGGTTTTCTCTCAAATATAGAAGGAATATACACTGGAAATTTCTGTAGTGAAATTCTACTAAGTTTACTCTGCTCATTTATCCTTCTAAACCAGAATTAAGAGGTTTTCTCTGCCCTTAGCAGAGATGTAATTAAAGGAATATCTACATGATATCCTGAATGGGACTTACCCAAATATCAAAAGCCCAGTTATTAAAGTTTTTTCACCAACACTGTAACACACATCAATGCACAAATTGAAACCACAATATAGTATAATGAAAGTTGATAACTATACCATTTCCTTGGAAGTCATGCATAAACTTTAATGATGTCAAACACCAATTGATGAAAAAACATTACAAGGTTTTCAGAAAATGGAAAGAAGATATTCCCTGCTTGCTCTTTTTCAGATAACTAGCATATAACAACATATCAACATCCTCTATTATATCTCCTCTATTTAAAGACCAGGCTTATAAACCAAATACAATGTTATCACAAATATGTGATCAGAACAAAGAAAACCAAATAGAAGTTACCTTTGACACATCTACCAACCACTCTCTACCAACCCCAATAACAGCTTGAATACCTTGAGCTAGCCTATAAGCTCCACGTGGCCCTGTGTTTATTGATGTCTGGACTATGTCTTCCACCAATTTGGGTAAATCATCAATACGGCCTGAATAGAAACAGGGAATTTAAAAACTTCAATAATACACCTAAATAAATATATAGTAAGTAATATTACTACAATAAACTCTCTTATTGTGCTTGCGTGTATCAATCAAGCCAAGGTACCTGTTTCCCAATCAAGTCATTGACTCATTGTAAAACTTGTATAGAAGTTAATGGGACTTTTCAAACAAGATTAAGATGAAAGTAAAACGAGGCTACCTTGAAGACGAGAAGAAAAATCCTGTGCCTGTGCATATCGAGCAAACAATGCTAAGCGATTTGAGCGGACACGAAGCTTCCTTGATCGGATAGAGGTACTTATACTTATACAGGGCAACTGTAACCAATGGGATCAAATAATTCTGTTTTTCAGAGGGGAGAAAAAGGAGTGCTTAAAAAAGTAAGAAAATAGGTAAGTAAAGAAAAATATAGTGACGGAAGCACCATAGACTTAAGACTCCGATGGTCCTAGCCAACCATCCAGTCCACTAAAGGTGGATAACTTTTAATTTGTGATCAAATGGTCAAGATTCCTAAATATGCAGGATTCTTGGAATATTGGTCATCAAATGAAAGGCCCAGAAGGATGAGTTGGTAGGACACCTTAGTGATAGTAGATGCTGACCACCACAACCATACATTTCCGCGAATTCTTAAGAGCATGATTCTTATGTATGTATTTATTTTAAAATTAAAGAGAAATTGTTTCTAAATGCATCAAAACTAATGGAACGGACTTGCCATAGAAAGTGAATCTACAATAAACCAGAACTCAAAAGGGGTTGACGTAAAACACCATGAACAATAGAAGCAAGCTTAAATATATCTGCTTTTAGGAGACATGCAACGATCAGGAACCAAAGTTTCTCGAATAAAAATGAAAACGTTTTCAGCGAGAAGCGGAAAAGCACAGGGAATTCACCTTTGGACAGAAAAGAAGCTCCCAATAAATATAAAATAAAACAATGATCTGGGCAGGAAAAGAAAACTGAAGTACTTTTTTTTTATAATTAAAAACTAAAGTACGTGAAACAACAGAATTACATCTCCAGATAGAAATCAACCCTATAAGGCTTCTAACAAAACAACACAACTAAGGAATAACAGCTCTTATAAATCGCGCATTTGGATGCCGAAAGAAAGGTTCTAGTATAAGAGGGAAAAAAGAAACAATTAAGATAGGACTCTAGCTTAGGAGTCAGCAAATGGATACCTTAGGCTTAGAGTGGTGAAGGAGAGGTAATCGTGCATAGGTTGCGCCTCTGAACGCTGAAACCGCCATTAATTTGAGATACCTTTACTTGCCTTGGCTCTTAGTAGCTGTTTCTCCTGCCCCGCAAGCGCCGGAACCCCGGAAGAGTTTTATTTCCCTCATTTATTTTCTTGATCTTTTCTTTTTTATAACTGCGTGAAAGAGAAGAAGCCAAGTGGCACTCTTTGCAGCAAAAAAATCCCAAAAAAAAAAGGAGGTGGCACTCGTCTCGTATTCAGGTGCTCAGACTACCTGTTTTGGGACTTGGGAGGGCTGAGCTGAAGATTGCCTTATTGGTTCGGCTGTTGTTTTGCAAAAGCTACATTGGTTCAGACGTTCAGTTATATAAATAAATACTAGCGAGGCCCCGTGCAATGCACGGGAAACCCGATATCCAATAAGAAAATAGGAGGGACTAAAATATTAAAATGTATATGTTACAGTAGTTTACCAAAATTAATTTGTAAATTAATAATTTTTGGTTATTAATTTTTAGTTAGCTTTATAAAATTAAATATTGGTTAATTAGTAATTTTCTGTAAATTAAATTTATAGTTTATTGTCAATTATATTAATTCATTAATTTAGTGTGTTAAATTTTTACTGCTAACAGAAAATTAATGGTTACTATTTTTTTTTGCAAATTAATACAGGATATTTAATATTTAATAAGGTTAGAGATTTGGGATAAATTGGCTTGCACCTAGGTTGAGGGGCTTATGGGTTTGGGGGATGTGTAGTCCCACGGACCCAAAGAATAAATAAATAATGTAAACATTTATAGTTAATTTATTGTCAAATTTATAATTTCACTATTAATTTGTTGTGAAATTACTGTTAATTGAATTTAAATATATACTCGTGTTTTTCTGTTAATAATTATTGTTGCTTTCTATTAATTGATGTTAAATTTATTTTTAACAGAATTAGTTAAGGGTCCATTTGATTCCTAGTTGATATTGGAATCAGAATCCCACAAAATCAGAATCAAAATAGTCTATTCCTATAGTTTGCTTGATTCAGATGGGAATCAAAATCAGAATTGGAATCAACTGAAATGGGATCTCATTACCAAGGGAGGGGTAGGAAATGGAAAATTCCTCATATGGGAGAATGTCATTCCACCATAAATGAGAATGGGATTCTGATTCTACCCAACCAAACAACTGGGACATTCCAATTCCAAAGCCCTATTTTCCACGAACTTGACACTAACCATAGACTAATAGACTATTTTTTTAACCATGAACTTTAAACCATTTTTCACCAGTTTCAACTTGAAACTAACTGATGAGGGGTAATTTGGCCCTCCAATGACATCACACCATGTCTCACTTCTAAACCGTTGCATAACACCTCGACGTCATGTAGATAATGACTTGCCTTTACCAAGATGATAGAGTCTACCCCGGACACACCTCGCACACCTTGAGAGTGTTTTGACGCCACCCCGGTAGGGCTGACCTATAGGCACCTCGGCAAGATCAAGCCAACAATCTCAGGACCAAGCTAGAGACCTTAGCACGAGGGGTGACCTCCCATTGAGGTCCCACCAACCTGACTAAGGTCAAGTTGGCAACTTGCGTGATGTAGCGACCAACCTCCGCTACATGTGACTTATCGTCTTTGAATTCTCTTGGATCACATTACCTTGCTGATGGAGCTGGCTCCCATGCCGCCTGCTTTGGAAGTAACTGGATAAGCTTTATCACTTTATTTAAAAACCATTTGCGAATGTGAAACCACCTAACGTGGCAAGCCAATAAGCTGCATCCTCATAGAGATCTCAAACGTGCTACATAAAGCTCAAGACTATTTGCGTCTATATAAATGTAGCCCCTTCAACTAGAGAAGGTGTGCATGCGATTTAGCTCTCAAAAGTCTCTAACTCTCTCAAAACACTCTTCGCTAACTTAAGCATCGGAGTGCCCACCCCGAGTACTCTGACTATCTTCTTGCAGCTCGGCCATCTGACCTCATTAAACAAGCATCTGAACCATCCTCAATAGGGAGCACCAAAATCGCACATCATCACTAACCATAGACTATTTTCAATTAAACAGGAAGTTTTTATTTTTTATCCTTTTCTTCTACTCATTTTCTCTCTTATTCTTAAACCATTGTTTGAGAAATCAATATCCATTTTCTCACAACATGATTCCTATGTTGGAATAACAAAGACTAACAATCCCATTAAGCAATGTACCTGGAAGTCGAAAACAATAAGATTAAGTTCAAAACCATTCAATACGTGGGTTGAGATTTAGCAAATACTAATAGTAACAAACAGCCCAAAAGATAGGAAGAAGAAGAATACTAATAGAGACTAACAGACCCATTGAATAGCGTACCTGAGAGTAGAAAATTGAGAGGTTGAACTCAAAACTGCTTGTGTCTGGGTTGAGATTTCAAAAGAGACTTGAAAGCAGGGACTTCAACGAATACTACTCATTTCTTGGGTTTATTTGTGGAAGGAGAAGTAATGGTTTAAGATTTGGTTGAAGCATCAATACAGTATGGAAAAAAGATTTGGAAGTGAGGGCTTCAACAAAAACTACTCACCTGCTCACTAATGGCATTTAGATTCTGATTTCCCGTGTATGCATGTTGGAAAAGATTTTCATGGATGAGAACCTTGGAAGGACAAGTTACTAATTGAACAAAAAATCTCTAGTGGGGAAGAAATAGGATAGAAACCTTCCAAAAGACATATGCAATCTAGCAGAGGGTCGATTTTTTTATGGCCAGCTTCCATAGATTACTTAGTGAATGGGTGGAAATGGGAGCAAGGAGAGACAAGTGATTTTCTCTCATGAAAGGGAAAATGGGATGAGAAAGTCTTGTTGGCGTGGCCTAGGGAGAAGGATGGAAAGGGAACAAGGAGGAAGAAGGAGAAGCCTTGGTTGGGATAAGGGAGAAAGAAGAGGCCATCTTTGTTTTAATATATAGTAATACATAATCTAGACAAGAAAGAAGTCAAAGAAGTAAGTTATTCAAAGAGATTGGCTGATCAACAGAAAATCTAGTTCTATGGATATTTCACCAAACATATAGCTTATATGTTGTTCATGTGGGTAGCCAAAACCATTGGATTTCAGTCCTCAACTTTTGCTAATTATTAGGGTTAATCCTCAGTCTTGAGATCTTTTGAGAAGATTATAAGGGGAGAGGAAAGTCTAGTTAAAATGTCAAGAGTCTTACTGGAGATAGAATTCTAGGTAGCTCTGGCTTAGAGAGGGGGATAGGAACACTACTTTCTTCCATCATTATGCATCAGGTAGGAGGAAAAATAACAGAATTAATTGGCTAAAAGATGAGGAAGGAAACTGAACAAATGATATCACCAGAAAATTTTCCATACTATTGTTGATTATTTCAAAGACCTGTATTGTTCACAGGACTGTCAGAATTTGGAGTCCCTTTTTGAGTTATTTAATCTAGTTATCTCTGAGGAAGAGAATGCTAGTTTTATTTTTGCCCCTTAAAAATAGGAAATTCTGAAGGTTCTTTTTTCAATAGGAAGACAGTGCGTGATCGGAAGTGGCCCGTGCAGGCAGAACTATGGGCTATTGTTCGTGCTTTACAAACTGATGTAGATATGAATCTCTTTGTTGTGGTTATCAAGTCGAATTCTTTACAAAGCATTTTATCTTTGAATGGACATTTTTTCTTCTCTTCCTTGGTCTTCTTTTTCTTTTTTAATATAAACCAGAGATCTAAAAAGGAGCTACACACAATGGGGGGTAGCCCATCCCCAAATGTCAACACAAGAAAGACACTTTAAAAAGAAAGGGAAATAAGAAATAGAATTAAGATTTGAATGAGTGCAATTAGCAAGCCAATCAGCAACTCGGTTCCCTTCCCGGAATGTGTGTCTGTACTCCATCACGCTGTCCATCCTCTCGACCAAAGACTTGCAACCTTCGATGATCCTTCTCAGTCTTTGTAGAGGGTCCACCTGGTTCTTTAGACAGTCAATAACAAGTTTTGAATCGCCTTCAATGCTAATGGATTTTCCATTGAAATTGAGAGCGAGATTGTGAGCTTCCCAAGCCATCTACGCTTCAGCAAGATTGATAGTTGAGGTTCCTATACCATAGGCTTTGAAATCCAAAATCTGGCCAAGGTGGTTTCTGGCCACACAAGCAATGGTGCATCTGTTGTTTATGCAAAAAACATCAAAGTTTATTTTGATTCCATCCACTTTTGGCTTAATCCACTTGATAGGGATGACCATATTTCTTGGAACCATCATTGAATCACTATCATAAATTGCATTGGCTTCCAAAAAAAAGCTTTTAGCTCCATCAATGATAATTGGAGGAGGAATTTCCTTGTTATTGAAAGTTATGTTATTTCGATTCTTCCAAATTTGCCACAACAAGATAGCAATTTTTTCTTTTGCAAAAGGAATCTTTGGATGATGAGAAATATCATCCAGAGATGCCCACCATTCCAGCACCGAATTGCAATTCCCTTGAGGAGTCGGAATAGTATCCTTCGTTATGATCCAAAATTGTTTAGTAAATTGGCATTTTAAAAAGATATGAGCAGAATCTTCCTCTTCACCACAAAAATCACAACAACCGTCAACATCAACACCTCTTATCCTAAGAAGCTATCTTGGAAGGGAGTTTATTATTAAGAAAGATATATAAAAAAATCTTGATTTTGGGGGCCACTTTCAGATTCCAAACTTTGTTAATTTCCTTTCACCCTAGTAGGGATACCATGCATCCAACAGGCCTCATTATATGCCGATTTGACAGAGAAGTCACCTTTTGGGTTAGGTCTCCAAATTTTACTATCCTCCAATTCATCCGATGGAATAAAAATATTTTTAATATTTTCCCATGCACTTAATGGTACAAGGTTCTTAATCAAGTCTTCATCCCAAGTTTTAGTCTCGTGATTAATGACATCACAAAATCGGAGGTCAATGTTACTAATATCAGCTTCATTATCCAAGTTGATAAGGGGAACTTCATCAGACCACTTATCCAACCAAAAATTTGTTTCATTACCCTTGCCAATAATCATTCCTAACCCTCTCTTAAGTAAATTACGGGTCTCAAGGATGCCTTTCCAAGCCCATGAGTGATTCTTATTTGGCTTAGTCTCCTAAAAGTCTTTTCTCTGGAGATATTTGCTACTTACAACTTGAACCCATAAGTTATATTTTCATTCAGAACTTTCCAACTTAACTTGGCTAGGCAAGTTTCATTCATCTAGGCTAAATTCTTCAGGCCCAACCCACCCCACCATTTAGAAGTGCAGACTCTGTCCCAGTTGATGAGATGGAGGGGTTTCCTATCTTTACTGTTAGCCCATAAAAAATCTCTTTGCTTCTATCAAGGTCTCGAATGACTCTCCTTGGGACCTTAAATGATCGCATAATATATTGTGGAATCATGTTACAGGAAGCCTTAATGAGAGTGATTATACCAGCAAGGGAGAGAGAGTTCCTTTTTCATCCTACCAGTTTACTCTCCATCTTTTCTCTCAAAATTTTGAAGGTGTTCTTATTATATTTGTTGCTAAATACAGGAACACCTAAGTAGTTTTTGTTCTTTGCCTGTAAAGAGATTTTGATAATTTTTTCCATGATTTTCCTACATCTTGGGTGGATGTTCTTTGAAAACAGTAAGGTTAACTTGGAAAAATTAGGGGCTTGCCCTAAGGCTTTGGCAAAATTGGACAAGATGTTATTGATTGTACAACAAGCCTGTATGTCAGTCTTGACAAAAATAATGCAATCATCAGCAAATTGAAGAATAGGTATAGAAGGCCCAACTCTAGACACCCAACAACCAATAGGACTCCCAAGGCCAAAAGCTTCCTTCAAGAGGTTAAGCGTGAGCGCCTCCGCACAAATGACAAAGACTTAGGGGGAGAGGGGGTTCCCTTGTCTAATCCCTCTAGAAGGGGTAATATCTCGAGTAGGGACACCATTTACCAAAATCCCATACATTACCATCCTAATACACTCCATAACCCAGTTCACCCATGTATTGTGAAAGTCAAATCGTCTAAGCACTTTATCAATAAAGTCCTAATCAAATTTATCATAAAGCTTTCTCCATATCAATCTTACAGGCCATAAGCCCCTTCTTACCCTTTTTCTTCTTCATAGTATGCATGATTTCATGGGCTATGAGAACTTTATCTGTGATTTGCCTAGTAGGAATGAAAGCACTTTGAAAAGGGGAGACAATGTCATTAAGGAAAGGTTTGATTCTATTCACTAAAATTTTTGAGATAATTTTATAAATGATGTTGCACATACAAGCTTATAGGCCTATAACTATTAGCCATTTCTGGGTTGGCAGTTTTAGGAATAAGTGTGATAAACATTTTGTTGATAATTTTATTCATCTTCCAAGAGTGGAAGAATGCTTTTACCACACTACATATGGAATTTCCAATTATGTTCCAATATTTTTTAAAAAATAGTGCATTAAGTCCATCCGGGCCCGAAGCCTTGAGGTCCTTCACAGCAAAAATTGTGTCTCTGATTTCTTCATCTGTTACTTTTCTAATAATGGATAAATTCTGCTCATTTGTTACGGAGGAATTTATTGCCTCAATAAATTAATTCATCAGCATCAACTAGACCATCAGTTTTAAATCTCTGCTCAAAATTATCACTTAGATATTCAGCTATATCATTTTGGTCACATACCCAGTCACCCTCATTATTTTTTATTCTAGAAATTCTATTCCTATTCTTTCTTTTTGTGGTCGTAGTATGAAAAAAGTTGTTACTCCCGTCTCCAAGTTTGATCCAATTAATTCCGGCTTTTTGGGCCCAATATGTCTCCTCTTTAATAAGTACAGAGTTGAGGTGTCTTTGGAGAGCCGACTCCAAATTTAAAAGGGAAATGTTTTGATCATCATTTACTATTCTTGCCTAAACATCCCCTAACTGTAGATATTATCTCTTCTTTGTTGTCTCAGTTTAGTTTTGTTTCTTTTGCCATGTATATAAAAAACTTTAACTCCTTTCCTCATACTTTGGCCTATAAAGCTAAATCTTTTATCAGGAAGTGTGGCTGTCTCCTACCCCTTTTTGAACTTTGTTTGTTCTCTTTAATAGAAGTGTTTTGTTATTAAAAAACAAGGAGAAGTGTTTGTTCTCTTTCTCCTACCTCCTCGTGTCTATATTTCTCTCTCTCTCCTCTCCCTCTTACACGTGCAAATACACCACTCAACTAGTGGCTTTCAAAATAAACTTGCCATTAGTTACAAGTGTTCGGTAGCATTCAACTTATCTCTCTATTCTGAAACATTTGCTTTTTAGAGATTGTATGGCCATCCGGCTAAACATCAAATACATCTTTAAGTTCTGAAATTCTTTGGTTGACCTTGTCACTGAATAGATTCAGTGACGAATATTTGTATAAACTAGATATTACAATATTGTAATAAATAATATTATTATATGTGAATAACATTTACTTTTAACATTATACAACATATATTATATTTATATAATAATATTATATTATTAATATTATTGTTATTAGTTTAATATATTTTATATAATATAATAGTATTATATGTATAATATTAAAGAATATGAAAAAGACCATTACCCAATTGTTCCCAGCTATTTGGGATATTGGGAGTAATGTACCAAATACAATCCTAATCTTTGATATCTACTCAATACTCACACAAAAGTCTTGTTTGCTTTTCGGTAAGTTACTTACCAGGGTAAATGCAATTACCTGGGCAAGTTTTTCCTGGAAAACACTTACCCGGGTAAGTGCATTTATTCATGTTCTTTTATTTCCTAGGTAAATAAGATAATGACCATTTTAGTCATAAAAATACATTATTAAAAGGGATATTTTTATCCCATTCAAGTGTTAACAACTTCCCCCCTACATGGGAAAGTTATTTACCCACCTAAGAGATAGGTTTCCCTAATCCCCGCATAAATCTGAAAAATGAATATAGGATTCTTGGTCAATGAAAACCAAAATCCCATTGACCAACCTCCCCCCCCCCCCTCAAAATCCAAAAAAAGAACACCCACAAAGTAGTTTCATGTCTGCATTTTCAACTTGAGAACCCAAGATTTTACCATTATACCAAATAATGGTTCGACTATGATATCAAAACTATATCATATCCAAAATTTTTTTCCCAAATAGGTGACCACACACCACCCATTCTATACGATATGAGAATGAGATGTGACCACACAACCCCACTTTCTATTTGCATGAATGCCACCTTTATAAACCTGGATCCCACTTCATGACCTCAGCTCACATGAAACTGAGAGGCTGAGGTGTTTCTGTATCCCATATCATCAATAGTGATCCAACGTGCTAGTATAACCCCATAATAAAATATTAACATGTTGAATGGCTACCATTGATAGGCGTGTGGCTGACGTGGATTGAGATAAAGATACGTCACCAATCCAAACTCTTGGAGGATCTCTAGTCCCAACTCCCAAGTCCTAACAATTGTTTTGTGTGTGTAATATACATTTGAGTGCCCATAGGGCGGTCATATGACAGGCTTGGGGCGGATTCTCCTCTCACAATAAATAAGCTGAGTTTTAACCGCTCATCACATCCCAAACAGATGGTTCAAATTAATTACGCATAATGATAAAAATCTTTCACATAACTATAATTTTTGCTGTAGGGTTGTTTTTGTTAGAAAATATAAAATCATACATAGGACGCCTTAAGTGGAGAACTCATATGTAGAGTCTTCATGTTACTCCTGCACCTCGTTAAATACCCAAATTTGACGAGTTCATATTGTTAAATGGATTGAATTCAGATTGCCTTAACTGGATCAAATGTGACTTCGGAGAAATGGATACCATTTGCAGCCTTGTCCATCCAATGGTTTAAGACTCTATATCTGAACATGATTCGGAATCTGAACAGAAATTGGGTCTGCTTCTGTTTAGATTTGCCTCTAGTGGAGGGAGACCATCGTCATCGCTTGAATTCCACTCCTCTTCAGGTTGAGATGCAGGTCTCTGCAGGTGGGAACATGAATCATCCTTGTTGGTTGTTTTAAAGATTTCTGGCCTGCATCAAGTATTAGAAGCTAGCACATTGAGTAAATACATTGAGAAAGAAAATCAAAATGATAAAACTTCGTGCCAAAATAGGAAACAAAATATGATATGCAGTAGTTAAAGGTATATTTTCAGCATGCTCATGCATGTTCAGCCAATTTGCTCTCCAATAATCTGATTTGCAAATTGGGTTGCTTAAATTTTTTTTATAATGGGTTGTTTCAATTTTGAACCGTTAGAAAAGTCAATTCATACAAATTTGGTATAAAACATAACGAAATAATTTGGGTGTTTATTGAATATGTTATTTGTTAAAAAGAAACAGAAAAAGTATTTAAATGACACTTTTCTTTAGATCCATTCCCTATTGTCTTTTCCTCCTCTCTTCATAATAGATCTCATTTGTTTTTCCTTTTTCTTCTCCTTGAGTTCTGTACATTGAAACCCATTCCTCTCCGCCATCAATTTTTTCCTCTCTTTTTTTATAAGTTTTCCCTTTTCATTTTCTATGGTCAGATTTTTGCTATTTGTACTGTATAATCATAAAAAGCCTTGATTTATTGTAACTGAACATTTTATTTTTCATTTGACAAGAAGAGATTATAGACTACAAAGAAAAGGTATCTCATGTGTGTGGGCATGTGTGAAAAGAACATGTTGGTTCAATTGCAAATTTCACATATCTATACTGTAGTAGCACATCAGGTAAATTTTGATTATAAGGCGCACCAAATAGTAGATTTCTGAAGTGTGCGAACTTGCTCATAAAAGAGCACTTGTGAAACCATGCATGCCACCTTGCTACCTGATTCAAGAGCCTTCTCTCTCCCACTTTCATCTACCACAACGAAGCTTCCTGTGTAGTGAAAGCATAACCAAACAGTAAGTATCTCTATCAGACATACTTATGATTTTGACATTTTAATGATTCTTCAGGACCACCTCTATGCGGGGTTAATTTGAAAGAATGGAACAGCTAAGGTACACAATGAATGCCATTTTTTCTATAAAATGTTATCAAGTAACAACCAAGCTTCCAGGGACCTTTTTCTTAAGGTCTATAAAGTTATAAATAAAGCAAAACGGACTATTTTAATTAATTTTACTTTTTCTATATGTAGTTGTGAATCCTTTTCCATTCACCTTGCTGAGTCAAAACTCTCAGATACATGCCAGGTTCTGATTCCATGTCCATGTCCATGCAATAACTAACTAAATGTAGGCTTACACTTTGAAACTACAAATCCTAATGATGAAAAAAAGAAAATGTTGTTCATGGAGTTGCTGCAGGGTAGATGGCATGGACAGGTGTTTTTGGAGTTGTATGGCCAGAGTAACCAATCAGATTGAAATGTAATTCTATAAGATATCTGTAAGTTCAGCAACTGCATGGAGTGTCAGGCAATCAAGAAGCAAGACAACCATAAGATAATTTAATTGGCTGATAAGGAGTATGCAGGTTTCTATTCAGTAGTTGGGGAGATCAGCAAATGCTTTGGCTGATGTGTTAGCAAAGCAAGGGGCAAATTGGGAAGAATTGTTCTGGGCTCAGCTGTGATTTCTGTGGATACCAAAAAGGTTATGGGTTGAAGAACCAATAAATGACCTAATGAGCCATAATTTAATAGAGGATAATGTCCATTATACAGGAATGATCAAACAGGGATCACAGCTAATCCCAAATGGGGGGAATAAGGCTTTCTTGGGCTGAGATTTTTGCATCAAACCTAGCACAGTGTTCCTCCCCAAATAGCTTGTCCTAACCCAACTGGCCTGAAAACATTATTTCCAATATTATTAAAAAATACCTGTACAATTAATAACAATAAAAACATTCTGGAACACTCAACTGGTAGGAAAACGTAAACAGAAAGAAAAAATATCATAAAACTAATGCTGAACGGAGACAGGAAAAGAAATTGCTCAAGACAATAACATTGCACTATGATATGAACAATCATCTAATGAGAATGGTCACCCAAAAGACTTCTATGTTGCAATGAAGCTGTTCTTGTATGGAGAGTCGGTGAGAAGAACAGATCCTCTATGATCAACTAAGATTATTTTTGAAGGAAACGGTCATAAACTGGTCAAACATAAAGTCAAGAGATGTGAAACAGAAATGTGCTAAACAAAGATACCCAAGGAAAAAAATTAAGATAAAAATAGTTCTTGAAATACACCCCCCCCCCCCGCGTGGACATGATTTGCACCCTTCCATATGCATCCGCATCCTTATCATTCTTGTCTTATAGTTGGGGTTAATCCCCCAGTACAGTCCATATATTGTTTTTCTGGGTATAATGTTTGGACAAGACAGGGCTGGCCCTTGAGAGTTTTAAGGGGATGCATGGGTACTAACTTCTCTTGAACTACAATCAATCAACAAATGTATGGTCAATTACAGATCCAAAAACACCAAAATATAATCCAAGCAAAAGTTCGAGTGAAGAATAGTATAATGAAAGAGACCATGGCCTTATGGAGAGAGAGAGAGAGAGGAAATTTTGCAAATAAAAAACTTGGGAACAACTTTTTAGTTTTTGTTTTGCCATGACCCAGAAATAGCTCTTTTTGGAATATAAATGCCCTTGCATCATTATAAAGCACTGTTTGGATCTGCATAAATGTGTATGGTCAATTACAGATCCAAAAACACCAAAATATAATCCAAGCAAAAGTTCGAGTGAAGAATGGTATAATGAAAGAGACCATGGCCTTATGGAGAGAGAGAGAGAGAGAGGAAATTTTGCAAATAAAAAACTGGGAACAACTTTTTAGTTTTTGTTTTGTCATGACCCAGAAATAGCTCTTTTTGGAATATGAATGCCCTTGCGTCATTATAAAGCACTGTTTGGATCTGCACAAATGCGTATGGTCAGTTACAGATCCAAAAACACCAAAATATAATCCAAGCAAAAGTTCAAGTGAAGAATAGTATAATGAAAGAGACCATGGCCTTATTCATCAAAAAAAAAAAGAAAGAGACCATGGCCTTATGGAGAGAGAGAGAGAGGAAATTTTGCAAATAAAAAACTTGGGAGCAAAAAAAAAACAAGTTTTATCCACATCAAATGCCAAGGCTTAGGCGCAAGAATCACATGGCACAAACCTTGTTTTATCCACATGCTCTTCTGAAATTTGGCTGGAAACAGTGCCAATGATTTCTCCCCTCCCGCATCCATTACCTTCAGCAATAGAAAAACATTGAAACAATGAACAAAGGAAATAAAAAGGATATCAAAAGGTAAACCACAATGAACATGCAGTAGAAACATAAACTGCTTTGTTGGATTTTGTTACCTAGAAGGTAAACCTTAGTCTTCAGTGTTTTTTTTTTTTTTTACTTTTTTTTTCTTTTTGATCAGCAAGTTGTGATCTTTAATGTCAATAAGAGAAAAAAGTCAAAGGACTAGAGTAACACCTTTCTCCAATTTCTCAATTACCTCTCTCAACCAGTAAGGACAATATGTCAGATTTGGTTATCATTTTCCAATCCCAATAATGTAGCTCTATCTAGCCTATCCCCATTCACCACCAATTGCCATTATTAATCAGAGCTTGTCATCTCAAGTATCCAAATGAAAAATTAAAATTAAGAATTCTTTTTAAATTTGAGCAATGAAATTTAACATTCTGAGTATTGACCAAGTCCTGTAAAAGGCTTCTAGCAATTCAATGAATATCCAAAGGAATTTGGAATACATTATCATTTAAAACTTTAGTTCAAAACAATCACAGGTGAAATCTTACCACTTGACCATCTAATGAGATTTTAAGATGCATTTTTTTTTAATCCTTTTCTTTGTTTGCTTCTCCATGGTACCTAGCACAATTTGGAAAATTTTGATCTAGTGCTTTTAAGGAAGTTTATAATACGAACTCAACATGTCAAAAGATCCACCAAGAAACACATCTTGGCTGTGTGTGGTTAAACATACTTGTGCTGAAGAAACCTTAGAATTTAATGCAACAGACCAAAAAAACAACTCTCCATCACATATATCAGCCATTTGGAACAAGGACAACAAGGAGGCCTGATTCAACAAGGAAATCATGACCGAAACCCACTCAAAAATAAACAGAACCAAGATTATCAACCAGACTCCAGCAAAATAGTCAAATCTAGGCATAGAAGATTCCTTATAAGAAAATCCATAGATCAAATCTGGATGGGAGAAACGCAGTAGAATATAAGCAAGGTAGGAGTCAGGACTTAAATTAGCCATATAAAATCTTTGAAAAAGGTGAGAAAGGGCAGGCTTTTGAGTTAACTACAGTAACTTTCAGTCCAACAAAATTCTAATTGATCTCACAATTAACATCAAAACAGAAAAAAAAAAATGTGAGAATGGAGGTTAGAGTCTGACTGGTGAGTTCCTGTTTCTCCTCTTTATATAATAGCCTTCACATTTGGTTAATTTTGTTACAACTACCTACAACCAACAGGTATTGAACTTCCTTACATGGACCTTTGGTGTACACCTTCTTGATGGGCCTGACTTAAATGGGCTTTTGTCTTGCTCAGCATCCTTACCAATTCCATCTCCCATGAGAGCAACCTTGTCCCCAAGGTTCAGATGACTGAACTGGCGCAAGATAGTGTGGTAGTCCTCCCATGTGGCTGTTGGACAGTTTTGTATGCCCTTAGCTTCAATCCGATTTGATGTACTTTTGTTATTTAGTGGAAATAAATAAAGTGCATGTTTGATTCATGTTGTTTGGTACAATTCTGTGTA